CAGAAGGATTTTTTTTTCTATTTTGTTGGTCTTTTTATCAAAGTAGACTGGGGTTTCAAGTCTTCTTATTAATTATTATTTTTTATATCTTCCATTACTTTCTAGCTTTAACTTGACTGGTTTCCTTCTGTTTTATGGACTTGTTTGTACTTTTTATTTTTAAATAATATTTAATTGCATTTGTTATTGGTGGTGGAGGCATGTGGAAGTCTCAGCACATGTGTAGAGGTCAGAGGACACTTACATGAGTTGGCATTCCTACCCAGTAGGAACCTGGGATTGAACTCAGACCCTTGGTCTTGGAGGCTAGCACTTTAACTAGCTGAACCATTTAGAAGGCCTTTGTCTGTCCTTTTGTAAATTTCCCATGTTGTGTATAAAGATCATTTACTTTAAGTCTTTCTTTCCCACCTCTATTTTCTATTTTCTTTTTTATATTAAAAGCATTTAAGGGTATAGATTTCCCCTCTGACTACAGCTGTGTCTCGTAGGTTCTGCATGGTATGCTGTTGTTGTCATTTCCATTATTAGATAATTTCTATTTTAGGTGTGATCTTATTTTTGATTCAGAAGTAACTCCAGAGTGTATGCTTTCATTTTCAAGTGGTTTATGCTTTTAGGCTTGAAGTTTGCTTTGTTTGACATTAATATTTCTGTTTCTACTCCCTCTCTGCTTGCATTTGCTTGGTATATTTTTCGCCCCTTGCTCTATTTTCAGTCTTTTTTGTCACCTTGTTTTGGGAGAATTTCTTGTAAACAGCATTTGGTTGTATTTTAAATTTTAACTTACTCAGACAATCTGTTTTGCAGTAGGGAAATTCACTCTCTTTGCATTCCCTGTAACATACTGATACATGGAACCTCATTGCCACCAGGGGCAGTGGACAATGGGCCTGCTTTCTTGTTATTGTTCTGGTCAGTTTTTGCAGACAAGGCCTTTCCTATCCTGTCTGTTGGGCAAGTAAAGCAGATTGGAACATAGACTATATAAATGCTAAATACCAGTCTTACGAAGTTACAATAATTTACCCCATATTCTGTTGTTCCAATTCTTTTTTCCAGGACATCTCCTCTACAATGTGCAAGACCTTTTAAAAGTGCTTATGTGTACAGCTCAAGTCCCCTCTGGACACCACTAGATTTCAAGTTCCTGAGAGTAATTTCCTGACAATCCAAGGGTTGAGAGGTGAGATTGATGGGCTAGAAGGATCAATGCCTCCCTACAGTTAGAGCAGCTGTCTCATTCTCTGCCAATGCCACCATGGTGCTGATCTCTACCTTATTTTTTTTTCCATCTTAGCCCAGCAAGGTGACACCTTAGCTTCTAGGGACAGTTATTTCATGAGGGGCTCACAAAGCAGCACGGTAGAGTTCCTAGTTTCTTACTTTCACCACTATTCCCTTCTCAGTCTAGCAGCACATCTGAAACCATTGCTTCCTCCAGACTAGGCCTTGCAGCCTGGCCTAGTGCATTGCCTCTCCCTCAGTTTGCACCCACACACACACATACATATGCTATGGGAACCTCAGCCTGTCTGCTCACGTCCCAGTGTCAGCCATGAACTAGTTCAGTATCTTTCACCAAGATTCTGGGCCCTATGCAAACATGCAGTCTTTGTTGGTATTCTGTAGTAGTTAGGTAGTTAGGTCTCTCTCTCTCTCTGCCTCTCTCTCTCTTTCTCTCTCTCTCTCCCTCCGTGTGTGTGTGTGTGTGTGTGTGTGTGTGTGTGTGTGTATCACTCTCTGGGTCTGTGTCTGTTTGCTGTCTCTCTTTGTTGTTTCTCTGTTCTCTCTGTGTCTGTCTCTGTCTCACTTTGTCCATATCTCTCTGTTTCTCTGGTCTGTTTCTCTCTCTCTCTCTTCCCCCTCCCCCTCTCCTTCTGCTTTCCCCTCCTCCCCCCTTCCCTTTCAGCTGGTCCCTTAAGGTTCATACAGGCTCTTGCCACAGTCAGGATGGCTGCAAAGAGACCTGGGCCTCATGCAGAGTTCCCGATGCTAGTCCATATGGTACTTTGTATCAATTATCAAAAGATGCCACTTTGTATCAATTATCAAAAGATGCCTTTCCTTCTTGGGGTAGGTGCAATTTATGCCAGGCACATGGATTGGGGAGTGGAGGGCAGAGTTTCAGGTTCCAATAGCCCCCTTCACCAATTTTAGGCACGTGAACCTTCCTGGTCATACAGAGAATTAAACATAGAGAGTCTTACCTATTGGGCCTGTAAAAGAAATATACTGTTGGGCTCTGGTTCCAGGCCATATTTTTGACACCCTGGGAAACCTTGGTGTCCTGCCTCTGAGCCCCTATCTTGAAGTATACAGTTCAGAAAAGGAGAACTTCGAGCTGAGCACTGACCCCAGGGCTGACCTCATGCCCCATGTCTCCACAGACTCGAGCACACATCACACAGCAAACACAGCCTTCATGCACACAGCAACTTGGAGGAATGCAGAGCACAGTACCTTTGCAGGATGGACTGTGAGAAACAGGGAAGGGCCTCTGTGGAGAGGGTTACATACGAAAATCACTAAGACAAGAGTGAAGCAAGGGGCATGGTGGTGGCCAGGGGTTCCCAGGACACCAGGAGCCTTAACTGGTAGGTGGAGCACTTCCAAGTTTGTTTATCTGCTGAGCCCTGAAGAGCCACCTCCAATTGTCTGAGCAGGGCATGGGGAGAGAGCTCAGTTGCTGAAATCCTTGTCTCAGGAGACTGGAGTTCCAAGAGCTGAGGAGGAAGAGACAGGAGATCCTTGGGGCTCACTCACTGCCCAGCCAGTCTAGCCTAATTGTTGAGACCTTTTGTCCACAGAGATGGACAGTATTCCTGGAGGTGACATCTGAGATTGTTCTCTGACCTCCAGATACATGAGCCAACCCATATACACACATGTACACGTGCCTGAGTACACGTGCACGTACACACATACACACACCTGTGGGCACACACACACACACACACACAAATGCAGGAACACATGAGTACGCACATGGAAAGATTGTTTAACTTTTTGAAACACATGTATTTGGTTAGTTGCTGGGGCAGAGAACACATGCCATGGAGCACATATGGAGGCCAAAGAGCCACCACCAAGAGTTTATTTTCCTCTTCAGCCGTGTGGGTCCCCAGGATCCAACCCAGGTTCCAGCCTTGGTTGCAACTGCCTTTGCTTGCTGTGCCAACTCACTGTACCCCCTCCCCCCAGTAAGACTGTCAGAGCAGGAGAGGCACAAGGTAACATTTGGCACAAGAAAGATGACAATTCTGGAACTGTTTAGGATGTAGAGAAAAAGGAATTGGCAAACCCACCATGGCACGGATACACCCAGGATCTCAGCACTACTGGGAACCTAAGCAGCCAATTTGGAGGCACCCTCTGAAGAGCCTTCTTTTCATCACTAAATTGAACATAATCTGTGCAATAATTTCAGAAACTTTCCCAGATACTTTGAGACCATTTGCAAAGACGGAGGAGGGCAGGAGGATCAGTGTTACCCTCCCTCTTCTCCCTACCCCTTCATCAGAATGTGTTTTGATAAGTGGGGGCTTGAGTGCAGCATAAGGGCTACTAAGCCCCCACCACCACCAATTAAATTTTTTAAGCCTCCATGGAAGGAGTGAATATTAGTTTCCTGATTTATAAAAGCCAAATGGATTAAGCTCATTCATTGCCCGAGGAAACAAAAAGGAAATCTTCAATACCTCTGTGCACATTGAGAACTTGAACAATACCAGTCTTTGGAAAGCAGAAACCTAATTTGGGGGAATCAATTACCCTCTGTGTCCCTGCCTCTGTGGGCTCTCTCCCTTGCTCCCTCAATAGAGATTTCCTGGGAGGTAAAATGTAGAGTCGGTCCACCATAAGCACACCCCCTCTACAGCTTTGAGGCTGGAGGAAAACTAGGATGGCGTGGGTGGAGTTGCCCTGGTGTCAAGCCTATGTGTAAGTGGGGGTTTTCATATTACAGTGGAGAGCGAGGGTAGTATTGGATGTGGGGAGGTAGTGAGAGGGTAAAGGAGTGGGTGTGGGGTGGAAACTTGGGGTGCATGTAACAAAGCTCAGTGCTGGAGCAGGCAGATGACTGGGGAATTGGTAGACATCGTGGCCTCAACTACTTTCCAGGTTTGCAGCCGCAATCGCTGGGCTATAATGAAAAAGGAAGGGGTAGAATGCCAGGAAGTCACATCCTCAAAGTCATACACAGAAGCATTCTGCATTCCTGTGCTGGGTCTGCAAACTTGGTCCATAGTCACAGACCTAGAGCCACACCCAGATCCAAATCAACTCTCTCTCTCTCTCTCTTTCTCTCTCTCTCTCTCTGTCACACACACACACACACACACACACACACACACACACACACACACACACACACACCCCAAGTCCCACGCTCACATGAGAATGTTCATAGGTTGAAAACTGCATACTCTCACAGCGATGACACAAATGCCACCTTCCCTACTGGTCGTAAACTCTCCCACCCCACTCATTCCACACTCAGGCATGCGGTCACACACACATGCACAGAGTCCCTCACACGCACACACTCTGGCTGTGCTTTTGTGTTTTGTCAGAATTAATGAGAAAAGTTCCCGTGCCCTGCGGGTAATTAGTGTCCTTGGAGTTAAATAAGCTAATGGCGGGCACCTCTGGCCCAAGCAATTATGTTTGTGTATTGAATAATTGATTCAAAGGGGGGAAGGGCCGCTAATCAGATCTGAGCATAATGAATTGATTTAATTAACAGGGGAATCTGAGGGGCCCTGGGAAATGCAAGCTGCACTCTACTGAGGGCAGTGCTGCAGACTGCAAGAGGGAACCCGCGAGCGCGGCTGCAGCGGCTGCTCCGGCCCGGGCTCCGGCCCTAGCTCGGATTCAGGCTCCCGCTCCGCTCCGGCCGGGTCCCTGCAGCTCAGCCCACACCGTTGCCGCCCCGCCCGGCGCCCGCCCCCCAACGCGCCGCGCCCTCGCTCGCTCCTCCTGCGCGCCCTGCCCGCGGCGCTGCGCTCGGGGCGCCGCTCCGTCCGCCCCCGTCGGCGGCCGCGGGGCGCGGGGCCCACGCGCGACCGCAGAAGGCATCGCAGGCGCCCCGTTGGCGACAGTCCGAGCCGCGAGTCTCTGTACATCCTCCGCCCGCCCCCGGTTGGAGTCGCCTGGGGATTATGGTGTTGGACCAGGAGGACGGTAGGTACCCGGGGACAGTTGGGAGCAGCGCGGGCTCTGTCGAGGCTACCTCGACCCCAGTGGCAGAGGCCCAGACACTGGTCCCGACTGCTGTTTGGAGCTGGTTTGGAGTGTGTGTGTGTGTGTGTGCGCGTGTGCGTGTGCGTGTGTGTGTGTGTGTGTATGAATGTGATGAATGTGTGTCGAAGGTGCCAGACTCTGTGTTCTGCGATAAGCAACCCCCACCCCCCCATCCTAGAGCCTGTGAGCAGGGCATGCTCTGGCTGAGAACTTTCTCGCTCCTGCCCCCATCCGGAGCTCACAGAGACCCATGAGGGGCAGGCTTCCCGGTAGTACCCATCGCCAGCCAATTTCTGGGCCTCATTGAGTATTTGAATATTTTTCCACACCTCGGTGTGGAAGATTCCCCTAGAGGATGCTCGGACAACTTGGCTGGTGAAAGTGCATTCTAACTAGCCTTGGGCCCTCCTGTCTCTCACTTACAGTCTGGAGCTACAGGGCCTGCAGTCTCCTGCATGCCATCAGTTCATCCAGACTACTTAAGTAGTGTCCTGATGGTTGCAATTGATGGGTGAACTAGCCAAGAGAAATTTGGCATCCTCAGGGTCTCTGGCGATCAGTTTTTATTAGCAATCTCATATTCTTCTCATTTTTGGCCGTGTGGGTTGGGGTGGGGGGGCAGTTGTCAGGGCCTTAATCTGCAGCCCAGAGTGGTCAAAAACTCACTGTGTAACCCAAGCTGGTTTGGATTCATACTCCTTCTCTTAAACAACCGCACCCCTAAAAAACTGCTGTGAACTTTGTGCCTCACAAAATCTAAGTCTACCCTTGAATCTAACTAACCACCTTCTCTGTCATGGCTCTCTCAAGAAGTCATCTCTGTATCTTCCTCAGGGCTGAGGACAGACAGATACACAGCCATGCCTGGAGTATGACACAGTAGGATAGGAGGCTCAAAAATGTGGGGTTGGGAGCTGCTGATCAGCAGAAAGGGGTCTGTCTGTCTCCTCTTGGTTCTATTAGTTACTTGTCTTATCCTACCATCTCCCTTATGGTGACCGATTGTCCTGGCTTGTCCAGGGCAGTCTATTTGAGCATATAGAATCTTGTAGCACAGGGAACCCTTTCAGTCGTAGGGTAGACCTGGGTCCTCCTAAAACCCTAGCTGTCTGGGGCCTCTTGTACATGGGTGGGGTGGTTTTCATAGAGGGGTGGGGGAGATCTGTGCTGATTTGGCTCAGGCACATCTATGGCCTAACAGTTTGTGACTGCAATTTCTGAGAAGGCCTCTCTAAGGGAGTTTGCTGACAGCACTTGTCCACAATAAGTTGGTTGAGAATTCCTGTGCATATGCTGCTTCTATGCATGGAGGGGAAAAGGTAGGAATCCGAACTTGGCTAGCAAGCATCCTGATGGCACTGCAAATAATGGTTTACTCTGTCCTGTAACTGTCATATGCACAGGGAAAGGGTCCTTGTCACCCTGAATACCTCTCCAGTCACCAGTTGTGAGGTCAGTCTGTAACCCCATCTTGGAGATAACTTCACTGTGCTGAGAGCAGGGCCCTCAGGCTCAGGCATGTTGGCCAGTGTCTGAAGAGTTCTGGATTATCTAGTCTGCCTAGGCCCTTAGGCACCAAGTGAAACTGTCCTCCACCCCCAATGTAGGAACCCTTTTCTCTGGATGTTTCTGCCAGCTACAAGGATGAAGTGCTGGGACCTGTTCAGAAATATGTAAGGCAGCTATCAGCCACCCCCACCATTCTCTTCCAGGCAACCTTGGGGACTGAACAGCTGGTGTCCCCAGAGGCATTTCAAGGGCATTTTGGAACACTCTCGGTGTGTTGAAGTCAGAGTGCTGTCTCGACACCTGTGGAATGTACTGAATGAAAACTGCCTCTTCCAGCCCCAGGGCATCTTAGGATTCCATTCAGACACTGTTGGCATGCCCCTGGACCTGAAAGCTGCCTGAGATGGGGAGGGCAGGAGACTGAGACCCCCCTATGAGCTTAAGGTCACCCCACAAGTGAAGTCCCATCTGGCTCCTTCCTTGGTGTGAGCATCAACATTCGCTAAATCCCCTAAGACTTGCTGGGCAGCACTGCCACTGGGGTTCTTCCTTTAGAACGAATTGGGATGCTATGCTCCTAGCTAGGGTGTAAAGGAAGCCACCTGTGGGGACAAGAAGTCTTCACATATAGCACTAGTCCCCTGCCAATATGCCTGACCTGCTTCTCTAGCTCACTGCCTTGTGCCTCAGGCTTGGGAAGCAGGGGTCCTGATTCCTCAAAGGGATGTCAGCCATGTGGCTGCCTGTTGGGTACCTTGGAAGCTGGGGTGATTTGAGGCTCAGACAAGAGAGTGGGAATGTGGTTCCAGCTAGTTGAGTCCTGATTTGTGGGTCAGGGTCAGACCCTCAGAGCAAGAAGTGAGCCCTGGAGATCAGGGGGAAGGCTACAGAAGGGATATCTCCAGCTAGCTCAGGGGTTTCCTCTTCAAGATGCTGCTCTTGCTGGGCCCTGCACTTGCTACATTGATTGGCCTTGGTTCAGAGCAGGGAGGGGGCTGCACCAAATGGGTGGCGACAGCAACAATGAAGCCCCCCACACACACCTCGAGGGCACAGCTGTAGCTGCAGTGGCAGGGGAGAGATCAAGCCTGCAGTCCTGAGGGACAGCGAGTCTGAGCAAAATGATATATTTAACATCAAATATACTCAAGGACTATTAGGATTAAGTATTCAAGATGAAGGGGAAAGTGAAACCCTCTGAGCTGCAGATGAGGCATCTCATTAGAAACAGCTGCACTTCAGTTTCCTCAAAGCCTGACTTCCCTGCCTTGGAGTGAGGATGGGCTACACCCCCCCCCATACTCTTGTAAAGTGTGGGGGCCTCCCAGGATGGAAGGAGCAAGACAGCCTCCAGATCTCCTTTAACGAGGTAGTGCCCCACCCCACATTGTCTGGAGTACTATTTTACCTTTTCATGGCACTTTTAAAGACAGAGCAGAGGTGGCTTGTTTATAAATAGGGAAACTGAGGCAGCAAGAGAAGTGACTTGCCAGCTCTGTCATTTATTAATTGGCAGCAAATCTGATACCCCCTCCTCCCACTCAGCTTCCTACACCTTGTCAGAGTTCTCTGCAAACTGCCAGGACCAAGCTCCAAACAATTCTATCTGGAGCCCTTCTTTAACTGAAGAAAAAAGCATTTCCACTCCATTTTGGAGCTCTATAGTCTGGGGATGGGCAAAAACCAAAATACCTCTTGGGGTTTTAAAAGTGGGTGGCCTCTCTGGAGTAGGCAGCCTGGGCTAGGTTTTTCAGGGTAGCAGGGTCTAAGAGGAGTATCACTGGACGTGTCTTTCTTCCTGCTGTGTGAATTATGGAGCAAGAATTTGTCAGCTCCACAACAGAATCTTCATTTTCTTCTCTGCTGTATCCCCAGAGCCTTAGAATAGTGTGTGGCACATAGTAAGTGCCCAGTAAATATTTGCAGAAGGAAAAATGCCTTCAGGAATTTATGCTTGCTCAGAGAGAAGCTAAAACAGGACTTGCCCTCTGCACAGAATCAGGATGCTGATGGGTGGTGAGGATGAGGGTAGCAGACACTGCTGTGATCAGGGACAGTCACTGTAGAACTCACAGTAGGAGGTTTTGTGCCCTGCAGAGTAGTTAACTTTGCTAAATAACTATAGCGTCAACTAGAAACCCCAGGCAGAGCTGATAGAGAGGAGTCGTGATCAGAGAAATAGCCCTCCTGTGAGGAAGCAGAAACCAAGGTTGAAGGGGCTGGGGCAGGCAAGGGTCCACCAGACTGGCATGGGAGACTAAGAAGAAACCTTGGGACCCAAGCGCAGTCGTTCGCCGAGCTGGAGCGCAGAGGCCTCCAGGTGGCGCTGCAGAGCCGGGCAACGGCGCGTCTCCACTCCCCATTAACCCGGCAGGGAGGGGGGCCTCGGGAAATGTGTGCATTTATTCAGTAGCAGGAGTGCAAACCTCATACATTGAGGGAGAAAGGCAGCGGGAGTCGGCCGCCGAGATTCCCCCATCTCTTTGAATATAATTTCAGATTGAGATTCAGATTAAATCCGAGGGGAAAACACTTTATGAGGCTGAAAGCTGTGTCGTGCCAGAGCCAGGGTTATGAGCTATCAAATGCAATTACATTAAGACAGATTATACTGGGCAAATTGAGCCATTTAGAAGGTGAGAATCAAAGAAACGGCTCTGATCCTCTCTTCCCCCTTCTCTCTCCCTCTCTCTCTAAATTGCAGTTCGTAGTTCCTTGCAATTCTGAGGCACAAAAGTAGGTGAGACTGCTTTTGTATCTGCGAAGTGCTTCACTCCTGAATGTAATTCTAGCTGAGTGCAATCTAGGTTAAGAGCCGGACAAGCGGGTAATTAGAGCCCGCTCGCTGCCGGAGGACCGGCCTCCCAGCCGAAGCGCGCCCGGAGTCGGCGCCCTTTTCCCGGCCGAGCCGAACAGCGGCTGGACACGGAGCGCCCGAGATGATGGTGCTGGACAAGGAGGACGGTAGGTGGCGGGCAGGGGTCCCGACGCCCCCAACGCCCTCGCCTCGGCGCACGGGATGCCACGCACCGGGACCCAGGCACACAGACACGGGGCCACTCCGGGCTGTGGAACCAGTCGGTGGCCCGGGGCGGGAAGACAGACCCGGGTGGGGTGGGAGAGCTGCTGGCCTAGCACCCCCAGGTCCCGCGGTCCCCGGGCTTGCGGGAGGGGCGAGGCGTTGTGCCCAGGGGCAGCGTGGAGGCTCTGGCTGCCCCCTGGTCTCTGCGCCCTGGAGCTTGGCGCTGAGCGTTTGGTCTGCGGCTGCTCCTCGCTCACCGCAGCCATCACCCCCGCGCCCGCCGCGTAACTCGAGAGGCGCTGAGTGCCCAGCAAATCAGCTTCGGGGAGAATCGGACTAGAGAGCTTGGGGGCCAGCGGGAGCGCGGAGGACCGCGCGAAAACCAGGATGCCTGGTAGAGAGGGGAAGGCCAGCTGGGCCTTCAGGGGCCAGCTGCCCACGGGCATGACTTGGTGAGAGGGACGCCTCCTGTGCTGGCTACTACCCCATATCTCCTTGAATGTGAAGGCGGGAGTTTGAGCCAGAGGAAGAATTGTCCCGCCAAGGGCCAGAGGGAGTGGTTTGAGGGTGGCCTGGATGTATTATGATGGTCAAGTGCCTGGGTGCATTCATGAAGGCTTCAGAACTGAGGTTCACATGGCTATAGTCCGCCACTGGCAGGTGGTCTCATGAGCCTCGAAGTCTTTTTGGCTGGGGGTGCCTTGCAGTAAGTGGCCTCAAAGGTTGGGAAATCCTGGCTGCCTTGGAGGTAAAATGCAGTATGTGTCCTGTGACCTAAGACAGACACCATGGTCCAGGGAATGGCCCTGTAGGTAAGGCATGTGTGTGTTCTGTAGGTATTGTAGGTAGAGCAGGGCAAGATTGATGTCAAGCTCACTGTTGCTGGCATTTGGGTGAGGACTGGAAAGGCTGGGAGTAATGGGACATCCCCAGGAATCCTCCACTGGGTCTGTACCTTCTGTCCACTGAGACACTGTTACCATGGCTACTGCTGAAACCGGAAAGTTAAGTGACTTGCTCAAGGTCATACTGGATGTTCACTTGGCTGCAGTTTCATTTAGCTATCCCAGAGTAACTATACCTTCTGAGACACCAGCAGGAGAGGACCTTTAAAATCTCTGGCCTGGGTGGATGTATGCAGGGAAGACATGGGACCGTTAAGTCCCCGAAGACTGGCTCTTGGCATGAGTGAAGGAAGAGATTAAAGGAGGAATCTAGATGGTTCTGGACTGGCTGGAGGATAACATCATCTTCAGCAGATTCTCCTCTATCCACAGACCCTTCCATAGAGCTCCAGAAAGCCAACAGCACTGGGCTGGATCTGTTTACTATAGCATGCAAAGGAGGAGAGGCCTGAGATCCGGCCAGACAGGGAGAAAAGAGCCATTGATTTGGCTACTTTCAACAGTATTTCCTTATTCTGTGTTACTTCAGGTCAGTCATGCCCAGCTCCACAGCTTTCTTTTTTTACAAGGGTGCAGAGGGCCCTTCTTTGGTGTCTACAGGGACTTGTCACTATGAGAAATCAAGATGCATCTTTGACCAAAGTTATTCCACATTCTTGGCTCCCTAGGCCTAAGCCAAGAATGCAAAAGACCTGAGTTTTGTAGTAGGAGTTCTCCATCCAGGAAGATTAGGTGTATGTTAGCAAAATGGCATTTCTACCTCTACCCAAGATCTGTGCCCTAGAAGGGCTTGGGTTCTGGGGATAATTCTAAAGGCATTGGAAGTCTGCAAACCTTCAGACTGCTGTGTAATTGGATATTCTGGTCATGTGATTCCTTTTACCCCCACCCCAGATCTATAGAGGGGAGCTCAAAATGTCCCTTTTCCCCCTACCTGTACAGCCAAGCAATGTGGTACCCTTCATCATTGGCACTGCTGGTCTATTAGACCCTTGACAACATAAGGAAATGAGGTGGCTGGGGTCCTGGGTGACATCTTCATTGGGGAATGGGGAAAAGCTGTATATACACGCACTTGCCTCTCTGTATACCTACTGTCTAACTTCATATACACTTCTGCCCTCCCAGAATGTGGCCACCTGAACTGCGTCGCAGATGTGGTGCCCTAGGCCTTTGGGATATGTTCCTCAGTGCCTAACACAACACCCAATGTCTGGCAGCAGCAGGATTTCAGGACTCCTATTAGTCTCCCCAACACCATTTTTGTACCTGCCAGCATCTTGTTGAGAGAAGCTGGGCTCCTCTGGTTGAAGTCAGGTCTGCCAGCTGCAGAGGACCAAAGCCCTCTCTCTGCTGGGCTGCAGGGCTTTCATGTTGCACTTCTGAAAGATAATAAAATATCAATCGTTTTGCCCTAGCAACGGGTTTAAGAGACTTTCTGAAGTATTGAATCGTCAGAAAAAAAATTTTTTTTGCTTTTAAGCACAGTGCATTATTAATAAAGTAATCCATTAGGTCGAGCAGTGAAGGGTCACCACAGAGACAGAAAGATCTGTTTTGCAAATGGTTAAACTTCGGGTTTTAAGATTAATTGCTTTCATTTGGACGCTTGCTCTTGGCCTAGCTATCTCCACTTTACTGGAACTCAGGGTCTGAGCTGTCTAAATGCTGCCCGGTCTCCCTGTCAGCAAAAGGGGAGGCAAGCTCCAACTCTCCTGGAAAAACAGCCCTTTCCCTGGCATCTTCAGTTTGGGCTATCACCAGGCTATGGACTTTGAGTGTGGGCGAGGGAGACTGAAGTCCCAGGGGAGCAAAGAAAACTCCTGCCCTGAACCCTACAAATCAAATTTGACCTTCACTGATGGAGAAGAAGCCCCCAAGTGGGGACACACTGAACAGTAAGAGCTTGAACTGTGGGGGCCTGGGCAAGAGAGGATGCTGAGGGCACCCAGCTGAGAGTGCCTGCATGTTCCCAGATGCATGCTGGAGCATGGCTGGTCTGGGTCTAAACTGCCTCTGTAAAAGCCCAGCAGGATGGCTTGGATGACCACAGGAAGCAGCAGGCACATTGTGGAACTAAACACCAGACATGATTCCCAGAGCATTTTTAATAAGTAAAAAATGCTTAAGGAGGAGTGGAGCTGGGCTGAGGAAGACCAGACAGCAGAGTCTTCAATTGTTAATGACTGCTAGGAGCACAGCCTCTCCAGCTGACTCAGTTTGTCTGAGAGGTTGCTGCCAGCAGGACCTCCTGGTCTGTCCCATCATGCCCTAGGCCACAGAAAGTAGAGGCCTCCATGGCCCTGGAGTTGGAGGTGGGGAGTAGGCCCCAGTACTGTTCCATGACAGAGACCCTAGCCCATCAATGAAAAGGCAGAGCCCAGTGGGTACTACATACAGCCTTCAGAGAGCTTGCAAAGGCTTAGCATGGCATGGATGGCAGGGCAGGGCCTCCACCTGGCACTCACCTAGTGCCTGGCAGGAGGTGGGGGGTACCTTCATCCACACCTGCCACAACTAGTCTCCACAGCAGCTCTCTCTGCTGGGAGGCGCCACAAATCCTGAGCAGCAGGACAGTCGCTGCCCCTTCCTGTACAAACTCAGTCAGGCAGAGAGTCTGCAAAGATGGGGCTTCCCCACCCCTCCTGGAACGCTGGGCAAAGAAAGAGGCAGGTGTTCCACTCAGTGCTCCTGCTCCTCCATTCATTTGCCCACAGAGAGGACCGGGGGTGGGGGGGTGGGGGGACAGGGAAACAACATAAATTGGTCTGTCGTCCAGAATCCATGTCTCACTAATGTACCCAGATTAACTCAACTGTAAATTGTCTCCTTGGATGGCGGTGTCTTGCTAAAAGTTTCCCATATGATTCATGATTTGGATTGCTTTTAACGGCTATTGGCTAAGCAAGCTGGTGACTGTACAAGGTGATGCAATTGGCATTAGCGAGGGGAGGCACGGGAGCGTGTAATGCAGTCAATACTGCATTAACTACTGATGCCCAATTACAGGGAGCCTTTCAGGAGCATTAAGACCGAGGGAAGCTGAGATCACTAGCCGCTGCTCGCCTAAAAGCTTCACCCTTTGCGCGCCAGGCCGGGGCTCAGCACTGGCGTGGCCACCTGCTTGGCCTCTGTGGCTGCGGGAGCTGCCTGTCTCCCTTGCTCCCTGTCTGTGAATGTGCCCCACAGACATGTTTTTAGCACATGGCAATATGCTAGGGTCTGCCTCTCACCTCTTCTGAGAATTCATTTCCTCTCCTACCCCTTGTCCCATAGAAATCAGGCCCAGTGACAGTCAGGTCCCACCTTCTTCAATTTAAAGAGCCTCTCAGCATTTATGGATCAGACTTGGAAGTTGTTTACCTTGGTCTCTCACCCTTAGGACAGAAGGATGATTGCTGATGAACATGGGTGGCAGGACCCTCTGTGGCCCTGGGAGAAAGACTCATGAGATTCAGCCTCATCTGGGCTGCCAGCTCCAGGCAACCTGTGTTGGGGAATGGCTGTGGGTGCGTGAGCTGGGCCATCTTTCAGCAGAAGACAATGCTGTGGTGATGCATCTGGGGAAAGTGGAGCCCATGAATGATTTGAGCCATGTTGGAGGAGTTCTAAGCAAATGCAGTTTCAGAGATTTGTGGCAACTGTGCCCGACACATGGCAGACCTCTTGACTTCTCGGGAGGCCAAACTGTTGCTTGAACCAATCCCCCCCCAGGCACAGAACCTCCCAGTAATTTCTGATCAAGGCATTAGACAGACTGAGAGTTAGGACAGTTGGTAAAGAAAGGGGTATAGATATCCACCTCAGTGTACCAACTTATTAGACCTGCTGAAAACTCTACCATTTTGCTGAGCTCTGCCCGTGCAATGTGTTTTCTGCGTGCCATGTTCTGCCCAGAGTCCAGGCTGTTCTGCCTTTGTACCCTCTCACCTCTACAATGAGAACAGCTCCACCTACCTAGATTGTGAGCAGAATTAAATGAGGTACTGGCAGTGCACATACTCTGCCAATGGGAAACTCTATGGCCATGAGGGGCA